TAGTTTTTTACGCAAATCCACGTTTATTTTTGAAATGAGCCGTTTCAACTTCCGACTGATTTCGATAGAGCGGGTCACAGATGGTTAGCTATTGGTAAAGTATATTGTGTTATGTTTCATATTCTGGATAAAGCTCTTCTTTAGACTGTTTTTTACCTAAACAAAATCCATTATCCACCCCCAACTACTATCCATTATATGTCAACAAGTCTATAGTGGAGTAATCACTGTCATCTTTGCTAAAAACAAAACTAAAAAAGGACAATGTCCATTACAACAGACACTAATGGGCTGTCAAGTGGTTGCAGAGTAAGAATGGGTGATTTAATACATAAATGCAAATGTCCCATGGTGCTCCTATGACTGAGTGGCTTTTTTTCTGCTTTTAATTGGTGATTCAGTGACCCCTGATTGTGTAAAAAGTGTAACACGCAGTAACACAATGGGAGCCCAGCCTTGGCATGCGTTAAGTGTTGAAGGCTCACCCACGCACATAATTACCGCAGTCTTTCTGAGGTTTTCCATGCCATGAGCGGCTGTTAAGTGGTGCGGCTTGAATTTGGAAATGACTTCCCCGGGTGTGTTGACTGTGTCGCTCTGCACCAGGTTCCAGCTACTGGTCATTGCAATTAATATGGACATGGGGAGGCATGACAGGAAAACATATTAGGAATATCACAAAATTAACATTTTATATGGAGACAGACTATTATTTTTATGTGGAATTTTATTTGGTATTCAAACAATCACAGCACTGTGTTTGCAAATGTTGTCTAGCCTTCAAAAAACAATTTAGAAACATATCCTTTTTAACATATGTATTGTTATACATTGTACAACGTGAGCATTTTTAAACCCCTTAAAGGTAGGGTAGCAATGAATAAATTAAATGCTTTGACAATAAATCTATACAAATATGTCATCTGTGGAAGCCGTGGCGCTGTAAAAAGCAAGTCCAATTATCTGCCCGCCTACCTGCCTGTCAGCCTTCCATCTCGTGCACAAACTTATATTGTGCCCTCATTGGTCATGTGCGCGTTCATGTCTGTTGGAGGAGGGGCTCTGTAAGGAAGTCTGAAGGAAGGGGCCGATTTTTTTCAGTTGTGTACTTTCAAATTATAGCGCACTCGAGCTGATTTCTCCATTCTTACCTACCTACCTACCTTTAAAGGGGACCTATCATGCAAAATGCACTTTTGTACGTCTTTTATACATGCAAATGTGTCCCCGGTGTGTCAGGGAACTCACCAAGTGTCAGAAAACACAACCCTCTCTTTTCCTCCATACCCAAATCTCTAAAAACGGGGCTGCAACGGAGCTGATTATTATTTGAATTTTTCGGACGTCAGAAAAGGGGTGCTCCGCCTATATGGGCAACTCTCCACCTATCAGGGGAATGAGAGACCGCTCGAAAGCGCTGGAGACGCTGTAGTACATATGCCAGGCCTTTAAGTGGCGCTGTAGTCTACCACAAAAGCAGAATCAGCCCTTGCAAAAACAGGGCTGGAGCAAATAGAGCGAAATGAGGCATGGCTAAAATGCATGATGTTGGTATTTTGAAAAAAAGACTTCAAAGATATGTTTTATATAGGTATGGCCCTACAATATATGTTTCAAATATAGCATGATAGGTCCACTTTAAGTAAAAATAAATATTTGTATTTCACATTTTTACATTTGTCAATGCCTAAAGATGGATTGGAGTGCAGCAAGGATAAAAAAAGGTATTGAGAGAACAAAGGTAGGATAAAGAGAAGAAAGTAGGGGGTTTGTCCATTAGAGTGAAAACATGTTTAAGTCAAGTGAAGAAGTCATTCTGTTTTCCTGTCATTTCATAAAGCGGAGGATTTTAGGCTAGGACTTCAATATTTAGTTTCAGTATTAACTTCTGTTATCCTTAAGGAGAACTTGTGTGTTTTTGCATCTCTCTTACCATTGTCTCTCGGCCAATTGGAGCAGAGAAGACGAACTCCAGCTGGAAGACGATTGCGAGAGCTTGATGATTTGTCAGTTTGAGCTCCAAGCTGCTGCGAAGGCCCAGCATCTGAGGGGGGGGCGATGTTGTAGAGCTGAGGAGAGAGCACACACACACACATTGGGTGTGTTCAACAGGGAGAGACGCAAGGAAATAAGCTATTAAAGGACACACATAAAGATTATTCACAACCCATGTGCTTTAAAGTCATTACTAGAGCAAAGGATGATGCTTTATCCCTTTAAATACAGTTTTTGTTTTTGTTAAAAAGGAAGTAAATCAATGTGTTGGAGGATTTAAACTCTCCGGCGGAATGTTCCCTGGCAAGCATTGGCCTCCTGTGTGAGCAGTGGAACAGCTCTCTTGGTATTTGTCATTCACAGTTTGCATACACCATAGGCGGGAGCATACTGTGGAGCGCCGGCATGTCACGAGGTGGGGCCGAGCGCCTTTTCTTTTTACCGCTTCATGGACTCACCAGAGAATGGTACAAGCGAGCACATCAGATGTATTTATCTTCTCTCTTTTCTTGCTGTCTGGAAGCACCAGGCATAGCGGAAGCAGGACCGACTGTCAGCTTTCAAAGGCAGCACGCAAACAAATAAGGCAATCGTCATAATTGTTGGCTACACTGTTGTTTTCATATAAACACTTTGTTTTTTAGGGAAACACAAAAGGGCAGAACGTACAGTATAATGTCTGCAGTTAGTTTGATGACAATTATTGTTATTTGTATAAAACAGTAATTAAGTGCAGATTGTTGGAAAGTATGTGATTGTGTTAATTATGTTTCCCCGAGTATATTCCCATGCTTGTAAGACACCCATACAAGCAGCTACGTAATCAGCCTGCGTCTCGTCTGAAGTAGCAAATACAATACGTTTTGATTCTGACACACTGGAAAAAAGGCAATCAGAGGTTCACTGTCTGTATGTAATCTGTTGATTTTACAACTTATTCTTTGGACATTTTGACTTTATTTAATAGTCTGCCTTTCCTTCAACTCAATTTCCATCTGCGTAATTATTTCCTGAAACTGAGCAATACATCCCAACTAATCATACGAAGGGAAATAGCTAAAATAAAATACACTATGTTAACTGAAAAATGTGGAAGAATATAAAAAAAACACAAACTTTATGCATTGTGGCGTGCAATAGATGGCAGGTTTGTCACATCAGTATGCCTTGTATCCATTTGGTATTTCAACGTTTCCTTATACAACGGTTCTTATGTTGTCATAGGAACTTTATTTTTGTAATTTATTTTGTGCATAAGGATATCCGCAATCAGTGCACCTGCACAAACACAGTGCAGAATCGGTTAAGGCAAGAAAAATTACTTGATTAGGTTTAGGAAAAAAGTCAGGGTTAGAAAAAACGATGGACGTTGGACGCGTTACTTAGTTATGGAAGTAACGCTACCTCAAATTCTGGTTCAACACACAACACTAACAGTGGTCTTCTTTAAAAAGTGTTTGTACCCACCCATCCGTCTCTAACTACTCCGCATGCAGACTGTATTGCTCTTTATACTCCGTCACTGTCCTGACTCATGATTAATAGGTTACATGTGAACTGATTACATGGGATATATGAACTATAGTGCATTACTTAATGTACGCATAAACACAAATATTGTATGATAACAGCCTGGGTATTTTGCAAACAGTACCTTCACTAAAAGCATATTTCTTTGCATCCTTTCCCGTAAACACCAATAAAGACAAATTCTTTAGCTTATGAAAATTGGAAAGACAATTTGTTTCTTAATATTGAAGGTCCCCCTATCATGCTAATGTTTAGGTTCATTTTGTGGTTCTACTCTGACATGTCTCCATGCTTTAATGTTCAAAAAGCTCTTAATTTGTATCATACTGCCTGTGCTGCAGCACCTCTTTTCCCCCTCTGTCTGAAATCAAGAGTCTAGAGCAGGGGTGGGGAACCTTTTTCCTCTCAAGGGCCATTTCAATTTTTACAACATCCTTCGAGGGCCGTACAAATTATTGAACTCAACGTCTGCTTAAAAAACTCAAATCACAGCCCATTCATTTCGCGTTTCTTTCATGCTGTGCAAAGAAAAAGCAACCTCTTAATCCAGATATTTGACCATGACCCGCGCATTCATGCACCGTGGCATGACCACCAAAACAGAAAGATATGGACACAAGATGTGTGCAAATGTATTTAGTTTCATATCCATGTGGACATGATTTAAGTGGGGT